AGTATTTCTATGATAAAACAGATTGAGGGATTTTGCAAATAATTGTACCATTTTGGAGTCCCGGAGTCTGCTGTTTCCCCCTTGGAAAAAAGTGATTAAATAACATTCATGATTATCATAGAGAAGAGAATGAGTCTGTTTTTGTGTACTGCCACTTTTTGGTGAATCTATGAGCCACATTAATTCGTTCCAGGTTTCAATGCTGTTTTGAAATCACCTTTTAGAGCTGCAACAACTCGTGCTCCCGTTTCGTGCAGTGTTTCACCAACATCGATATCACTTGCCGACTTTGCAAAGCCAGTTCCATGTGGTTGACCTGCTGCAACTGATGCAACATTTTCCATAACCTTTTGTGCGTCGTTTGATGACATGTTTATCGATTGAAATTTACGCTTTATTTTTAAGATCGAAGGTTTTATAAGTTGTTTGAAGAGTAGAATGAGTGTTGTGAGAATGAAGTTGTTTCGCTGTCTGCGATAGTTTATATAGTCTTCTTTGACGGAAGAGAAGCAGTATTTCTCGGTTTATTTGACTCACAAAAAAAATAAAAGTTTGCAATTTTTCCCAATTCTTTGAAGTAAAAGCGAAACCATAATAATTGAGTGAGTCACGGAGTGGAATGAAATTAAATTATGAGTCAATATAAAGAAAGAAAAATATAGTCGTCATTTTTATATTTATTTAAAAGACATGCAGAAAATTATAAGTGGTTCGTTTAGGGTAAATCACTACGACCGTCACTATGTACACAAAGCCTGAGAACAGTGTACAAACTTTTATTTTTTTTGTGAGTCAGATAAATAGAGAGATATAGTTTCTCTTTCTCTAAAGACGACTATACAAACTATAGCAGCCAGTGAAACAACTTCACTCTCACTCAAAATATTCATTCCAACTATGTGCTCAGATTATGAGACTCTGTATAACTGAATATATTCTAAGCACATAATGATATCGATTTTTGTGGATCAATACCACTTCTTTGTATGTCTTTAGAAGGATTTAAATTATATCGTGATTAGTAAAAGATACGGTGGTTCGAATGAGTCCTGTTCTATAGTAGTAATAAGCAGATAAGTAAAATGCCGAGACAAAAGTTTTGTTAGCATTCAAGGGAACATATTGGGTCCTCTCGTGCACCAAGAGCGCAGAACTGGCTTTCTTTATGATTCTTGCAATTTATGCAGAATCGATACGACGTCGGTGAAATAATAAACTGTACGCTGAACCTGTATTATTCAAAGAGAATACTAAATAGTAATTAGGTATTGCATAGCTGACTGACTTGTCAATTCATAACACAAGGTTACTCTATAGTAGAGAAGTCTCTTCGATTTTCGCGATGCATGAGGAAAAGTGCCGAAAATTTTTTCCAAAAATTTATTCTCAATGAGTTCGAGATGGCTAATTCAACAAGCTATTCACAATTCGTAAAGGAGATTTTTAATGATGCATCAATTTTAGAATGTAGACATTTGCAAGAAATTCATACAAAATTTTAAAGTTTTTGAGCTTGGCTAATACCTAATCACAGTTTAGTTCACTGTTGATGACATGGAACAATTCAATTGGATGATTTCTTCGGTTCATAAACTGAAGATCTACAGATCAATACTCTATATGTCCATTCCTTTAGTATTCCGTCGTTTAGATCCTACTAAGATCTCAATCACATCTTGACATAATCCTGTTAAGTTTCTTTCAAGAAACATAAAAAAACTCCGATTGTTGATAGTAAACATTTTTTTGATCGGGAATGATTGAAATCCTGATTCAGATACTGTGAGAAACTATTTGGGACCCTCTCGGAAATCTTGAAAAATTTTGAATATTTCTCGGTTACAAGTTTCTATCAGGATTCAGTTGTTTCCGCAGGAAAAAAACAGAAATTTCGGACGTAATTCTGCTTCAATCTGCCAAAGATCTGGAAGTGAATATTGGTGTTATGGTTATAAATTAATGTGAAAATCAGATTGTTCATATTTTCTTTGAATGACAAAAAAAAATTTTCTTATTTTGAAACTAATCTTTCGATATTTCTTTTTTCTATTGTAATCGTTTCTTTTCATTCTTGTACTTTGAATAACGACGAAAGATTAGAAACATGAATTACGCTCAAATATCTACGCAGAGTTTTTTGATTTTGTGTGTATTATGTGTGACATTCTGAAGTGCTTACTAATGAGGTAGGAACAAAAAAGGAGAATAGAGATGAGTATAAAATGGAGGGAAATACGATTACACGATGTTAATCACACCATCATCAAAACATGATTGTAGAGAATAGATCAATAACGACTAAAAAATGTGTATTTAGCGTAAAATTATAGCAGAAGGAGAGACAAATGGGTAGGGGGAAAGGAGTTTAAAAAAAAAGAAGGAAAATGACTGTTTATGCCATAAATTATTGTCATCACGTCAATACGTATGCGGAGTTGATAAAGATATGTGCATATCTATTTTTTACATCGTTTTGTGTGTTTTTTTTTGATAAAGATAGCAAGTGGTTGTTATCTAATCATTTTATTGTTCTCGTTAAAAAATAGCAAAATAGTTACTCAACATTGACGAAGCATCGTTGTCTTGCCATTTAACTTATTCCTATTTTTGTTTTGTTCTTTCAGAATAGAAGACTAAAAATGACAAGTGATGGTAATACAAACAATAGAGTTCCTGGAGCTATTGCGCCCGATGGTGGTTGGGGATGGATTATTGTATTTGCATCTTTTATGATACATTTTATAATGGATGGGTTAGTAAATTATATTCTGTAAATCATTATTTTTTTTAAATAATAGAATAACATATTCAATGGGTGATGTATTTTTACGTCCTATGATGTATAATTTAAATAAAACTCGAGGACCTGTTTCAACTATTTTTGGAATTTTACCAGCAATAACACAAGCGACAGGTAAAGAATTTTTCTTTCAAGATAATTTTTTTTTTTATGTAGTAGTAAATGTTAAGGACCTATTGCAACGATATTTACAAATAGATATGGATATCGACGGGTGACAATAGTTGGAGCTTGCCTTGCTGCAGCTGGATTTTTAGCAAGTTATTTTTGGATGAATCTTTGGTTTTATTATTTCGCGATTGGTATTGT